AATAGCAATTGATTATTTTTGCGTGATGTTTTCCATATTTTTATGGGGTTTAAATCTATAATAAGGGATAAATCAAGGGGCTTAAGAAATAATAATGCATTATCTACCCATATCACAACGGCCACATTTTGAATACCTATTTTTATTTTGTCCTATCCGTCGCCATAAATCAGGGAAGAGAAGAAGAGGAGGAGAGGAAGTCCTGAATGATAGGATCTGATTGAGTTTTAACACCAAAAAAATGATTTCTAAAAATGGAAACCCACGTCCAATTCCTACCGCCAAAGCAAAGATTTTGACTTGTTATCGTGTTTTTAGCAAAATTTGATCTTTTTGCTCTTCATCCTCTTTCTTCAATTGTTACATTTTGGTGTTAAAAGAAAAAATCATCTCTAACCTTGCAGGATTTTCTGTTTTTAAACTTCTTTTTTGCATTTCGAATTGGTTTAGATGTGGGTTTCTGGTTATTTCTCCAAAGTCGTCTTCTTTCTGGACTCTTAGTAGGTTGTGGATTTGTTAATGCTTGAGTTTGGTTGAATAATTTGTTGAAAGAAAATAAAAAATGAGAATTGATGCCAAGGGGGTTCAAGTTTTTCTATGGAAGACTATTGGATTTTCTATGAACAGTTTCTGGAAATGTGTACAGAAACATCCAGTTGTTGCAGGTGTTTTGTTGGTCTTCTTCCTCGTGTATTTGCTTCTTCCTTCTGTTTTCTTCATTTTGATTTTTGCTTCTTCGGTTCTCCTTGGCGCTGCTGTTTTCATACGGTTTCGTTTCAATTCCAAAAGACAGAATGTTGCAGAAGTTTGGAAGAAAGACAGTGAGAAATTATCTGGTGATTCCTTGAATGATGGGGTGAAAAGGAGTACTAACCCTTCATTTCGAAGTCAGAAAAGTGTTCGACGAAATGTCAGAAAGGGAAACATAGGGTGTGATGCACATGGTAATATTATTACTTTGATTAATCCTCTAGATGAAATATTGGGTAGAAACACTTGGTCCAAGGTAAAACACACAATAGTGAGGAAAAGGGAAGGGAAAACAAGTTCTACTTTCGATGATGGGGAGACTTCGTCTAATAATGCAACTAAAAATATTGAAGCAGGTGATGGTCGTTGCCTACTTTTTGATTCTGAACGATCAACGTCTGATCCCATATGGCATGAAGGTTTTGACAAGCAGTGTGAAAAGTTTTCTGGTGATGGTGAGGCTGAGGTGGAAAGCATGGAAGAAGCAGAGGAAGACGATGAAGAGGAGGTTCAAGAAGACGGGAATAAGGTTCTGGAATGGACAGAGGATGATCAGAAGAATCTCATGGACCTTGGGAATTCTGAGTTAGAAAGAAATAGAAGGTTGGAGAGTCTAATTGCTAGAAGAAGAGGAAGAAAGTTGTTCAAAATGGCAATTGAGAACAGTGTAATGAACATGGATAGTGCTCCTCCAGGTCCATATGCTCCAATTTTTGTTGCAAGAAACAACCAGTTTGATGATCTCAAGAATTTTGATCAGGAAGGGTTACTTATTCCTGATTCTGCCCCTTCTATCCTGTTACCGGGACGAAACCCCTTCGACCTTCCCTATGATGCACACGAAGAAAAACCAAATCTTACAGGAGACAGTTTTCAGCAAGAATTCATGGCTGTCCCTCAGAAGGATATAATGTTTTGCCGACATGAGAGCTTCTGTCGTGGACCATTTTTCCCATTTAAACCCAAGCATGATCTTCAAGATCCACAATTTGACCTTTGTTTTGGTACCAAGGAAAGGCCAAGGTACTCCACATTTGGGATGCAATCTGGTAAGAGAAACTATGTATAGATAATCCTTTTTATGTAGTTTCTTCCTTTTATTAATCCCTTTAGAGAAAATTAAGGTGATTGTCTATTTTAAATATGAATTATAAAATTCTTTCCCATTTTCAGAAGATAATGGAGTTAACAATCATCACAAGTCATCCATCATGGGAAGTGCTACTAATCTTGTTCAACTAGAGAGCCTAGATCCTAACCAGGTGATAAACTCAGAGTCAGAGGAACTCCACCCTGATGAACTTAGAATGAAAGAAGGCAACTTGATTGAAATTGATGGAGAGAGAAGAGAAGATCCTAATGGGTTGCAGCTAAGTTTGGTTAACGAACTTGAAGTCCAAACTGAGACTGATTCCATAAAAGACAATCAGTCATCTTCATCATCGTCATCTGAAGCCAGTGAAATGATCTTAAACAGAATAAAATTTCCTCAGGTGCTTAGTGATCATGCACAAAGAAGCCTCGTCCAGGCAGCCCCCCTTAAGAGCCCCCTTAAGAGCACGTCCTTAGATAGACCTCCATTTGATTACAGTCCAACAGCAATTGACAAGCCAAGATTCGATAATCGTTCATTTTTCAATGTACCTTGTCACACCCCTACCTATTCCATTGCTTCTGACTTACAAGTTGAAGTCTCAGAAGTTGGCTCACCGCGACTAATGCCACTGGTGGATGGAGCTGCTTCATTTGTTGATGAAGATACAATCACATATGATGCTGATGTTGACAAGGATATCACCCCAGAGAGTGAAGAAAAATGGGGGGGCTCATTTTACCAAGAAGGGAGAGATGGAAAAGGATCAAAATCGAGAGAATTGCATGAGACTAGGGAAGAGCACACTTTTAATGGACATTCAGACTTGAACAAAAAGCCTGAGGATTCAATTGTATTACCAACAGTGTCAGAGAATAGCTTGATTTCATTTTCTCCCAAAACTGAAACAATTGAAAACGGTCAATCCTACCCAACAGATATCAATCATCACAACACTGAAGGTGTGGAGCCAACAGTTACAGAAGTTGAGGTATCCAGAATGTCTAATGTCTCTAACGAGTCATCTCCTAGAAGTCTGAAAAACAGAATAAGAGAGGACTTCACAGTTCATTCATCTTCTCAAGCTAATTTCGAGAGGCCAGAGGTGAGCTACTTCTTTTTCTTTTTTTTTTTTGACATGGGGACTTTTTTGTGAGGAACTAAGGTACAATCACAAGCAGGAGCCTCCTTATCCATAAGGGAGCTACTGATGAAACCAAATATCATAAACATTGAAGATACTCAATATATGTAGTACTTTTAAACAAAGAAAATGAAATTGGGTATTTCCCCACTGCTAAGGCAACATATTATTACTCATATTTACCTTCTTTACATGTGGATATGGAAAAATAAAATATATTTAATCGTTTATAGAATATCACAGCATGCCCTTGCTCCTTTTTTTTTTTTCCCCTTTTCCATAGCCCTTACAATTTAGTTGATGATTTCTATAATGTCAGCAAAATGATGGTTCGAACTCACCATTGCAACTTCTGACTCTTAAACAGGAATTACCTAAACCTCTAGCGAGGTTTGAAGAGGAGGCAAGCAACATTCATAATGTGGAGCCAGTTGTTCATGCAAATGCAGGTTCAGTAGAATCAAAACCAATTGAAAACATAGATGGATCTCATATATTTATTGAGCAAAAGGCTCTAAATGATCTGAAAAAACCAGCTGAAGTAATCAGTTCGGTATCTAGTGAGTATAATCCAGTTAATTCTGAGTGGTGCTATGATCAAGGGATTATGGCATATGAGAAAACGATGGAAGACAATAGAAATTTTGAGTATATCAGAGATAGGGAAGGAGATCATGAAGAGCTTACCAAGCATAATGTTGGCAATGAACCAGAGGCAGTTTTGAAATCAATACAAGATGATAGAGATGAGCAAAATGTTCCAGAAAATAATGTTCCCTTGGCAGAACAGAGATTTGATGATCCTTCTGCATCATCCCTGCATCAGAGGATAGGGGTTGAACAGGATTCTATCACTTCAGGTTCATGCCCGTCTCCAAGGTCTGTATTACTTCAACAGATCCCAACAGATCAAAATCCACAGTATTCTCTAGAGAATTTTGTAGATCACTCCCCCAGTAATTCCAGTTTCAGAAACATGGAGGTATGGATCAGTATTTCTTTGGACCTTTTCTTCTCATGAAACTCTAACCAGTAGGTGAACAGCAAGATATCTTAATAGTGTCCTAAAGAAAATTTTCCTATGTTTCATTCAGTATTTTCTCAATTTTCTTTTGCACATCTCTTTATCTGGTATTTTCAAATCATGTGTTAGTGGATTCTTGGGACTCACACATACACCTCTTATTGAGCAGGGGCAATCTGACACGATGGTGAACTCTACTGAGGAATCTGACACAATAAATCAAATAAATGAACTGAATTTTGATCACATGGAAGGAAAAAAGGATTCTTTGATCAAATCAACTGAAGGTAAATTAAAAACAACACTTATCAGTCATTGGGATGCTGAAGATGTTTCAAAACCAGATAAAGAAAGTAATCCCAGTTTTGGCAAGCTTATTGAAGTAACACATGCTAATCTGATCGAGCATGAAGCCAGTATTAGTCATGGAAAATCACAACATGAAAATGCTCATTCAAATGTACCTGAAGCAACGGCAAAAGAAGAGGTAAGACAAAACTTTTCCTACTGTTTTTCCTCTCTTGTTTTGTTTTGATAAATTTCCACATTTGTTGCCTGTATCATAGTCCCATATCCTGCATGTTGTAAAGCTTAACAATATTATTCAATGATCAGCATGTCATGTTGAGTTGTTTATTGTTTCTTACTACTGACTTGAACCATTTAATCCTGTTCCTCAGAAGTTTGCACCGGAAGTTGACAACATCAACAACATCAATGAATCAGTAGCCAATCAGATAACCGACAATGGCAAATCAAACCATGTTGACATCCAATGTGAAACTCAAATGTCCGATCGGGGAGAGTCTTTGGTGCAACCATCAAATAACAGTGAGGCAACTAATGCAATATATATTGAAGGCACTGAATACAAATACCAAAGATTATCTGAGGAAGAAGGTAGTGCTGGCCCAATAACAAAACCAGCTGGAGAAAGTGATACTTCAAGTGTCATAAATATTGAAGAGCTGAGAGAGTTGATCAGCCAAGAGAGTGCCAAGGCCACACCAAAACCAGATGAAAATGGTTTAAAGTGCATTGAAAATAGCAAAGACAGACCACAAGGTCTCCCTGAAGGTGATGAATCATCAAAACCAACAGAAGCTGAAGCCAAGGCTGTCAACACAGAGACAAAAGATGGGCATATAGTAGATGGGCATATAGTAGCAGAATGAGGAGATAGAAATTTGCCCAGCAGTCTTCTGCTTCCCTAGCAACTTCACTAAAGAGAAGCTGAAACTCTATCATTCCAAAGTCAAGCTATTAGGAACTGAAAATTCTCAGAAGATATCAATTTTTTCAGGTTACTAGCATAGAGCTTCAAGTAGCCAAAACACTAACTTATTTAACTTTAAAGATTAAGATTTTTAGTTGTATAGCATCATGGACTGAAAATTACATCCATGAGAAGAGGTTTCTTTTGTGAAACCACATGGTAGGTGAACTTATTTACCTTGTCAGAACAGAAATTTTCTTTTGCTGTTGTAGCTGTTGGTGAAGAACTATCTGCAGAAACCACTGGTGATAATACAGAAATTGCGATTCTGGCCCCTCAATGGAAATGACATAATAAGTTCAGTTGCTCACAGAATGCCAACAGTGGTGATCCTGATGATATCTGGAAGACCCTTAGTTGAAGAGCCCTGGATTTTGGAAAAAGCAGGTGCCCTAATAGCTCCATGGTTGCCTTGAATTGAAGGAAGGAGAATTACAGATGTTATTTTTGGATATTATGACAACTACCAATGCAGTGTTTTAGAAGAGTTGAAGACTTCCCAATGAATGCTGGAAACAACTCATACGATATTAATTTTGTTTGCCCTTTGGTTTTGATTGACATGCAATCAGGAAAGATCTGTAGATGAAATAATTTCATGGTCAAGGCTACCACTGTTGTCAACATTTTGTATAAAAATTATGGTGGTTGAATTGCAGCTATATAAATAAATTTCCCCATTCATTTGGGCTTCTCCTGTAATGCTGTGTACGGTATACACTGATCACATTTTTTATTCCACCATGATCTCTCATTCAGCAGTTTCAAAGAAAGAGTTATCCTAGCAGTGCTTGAGGGCCTCCTCTCTTCTCCCTATTGTTGAAAGTGATTGCGGTTTTTCTGGCATAAAACAAAGCTGCAGCACTCATCTTAATTGGTAGGCATGGCATGTGTGCTGATGACACAATTGAATCAGCAAAAAGGATCACAGGGTCTCAAGTCATAAGAATTGTCAAGGCACAGCTCAGTTTCCTAACTAAACCCCAGACTCCAACTAATACCATAGGATCACTGTATGTTCTTTCTGCATATCATTTTTCTTTTGTCCTAAGATACCTAGAATTATGCTGTCATAATCTTCTTTTAATTGAAGAGATCTTCTAAGGCACGCGTGATTACATTGATTTACATAATTGACACATAATGCTAAACTGCTTCTGTACACTTGCATTTCATTTCTCTTATAAATGCACATAAGCTTCCACAAAGACATCATTATCTGATCTTTGTGGGGGCAGAGAAACAGCTTAAACCTTTTGCTATCAGCTACAAATTAAATCATGACCTACACAATGTAGTTTTCCAGAGTGATTTTTTTTTTTGGAACCATTATAAGAAATTAATGAATCAGAGTATTGTTCACAGAATATTAGAAATAAGGTAGCTGAAAGCCTGAATTTATGATCTAATGTCTGAGGTCATCCCTGAATAAAGTCTAGAAGGTGCTTTTTCTTGCAAGTTGCAGAAAAACTGCTCCTTTTGCAAAAGAAGGTGATTGGTTTTGTCATCACCTTTGAAAAAGCTACTTGGAATGACCATACAGCTTGTGTTATCACTGTAAATCGTATTCTTTACTTGATATGTGGGACTGAATATGCAATATATGCAAGTGACATGATTTTTTAGCAAGCTTTTTCTTGATATATGTTTGATTCTGCAAAGAAAATGCAGATGCTAGTAACAACCAAGTTAATCACACGAAAAAGAAAAGGAATAGCAATTGAAGACAGTGTCGGTGGATTATGCGTATCAAGCCATGACTGTAGGGAAATAGTTTTAACTTTTAAGTGGCATCTTAATTAAATTCTAGGAACTACTTTTAGTTGATCCAGGGTTCATCATCATTAATTCAATATAACACTTGATTCTTGTTAAAAACATAACTTGATAGCTGAGAGAAGTGCATGTGTTAATTCATTGAACTTTATGGAAGTGGTAGTTTTATGCTTAATCATTGTTGTCATCTGTGACTTTCTCTTATTAGTTCAAAAAGGCACTTAATTAGGCACAAGATTTCTTGCTGCCCTTAACTCCTTCCTTTTTTCCTTTTTTCCGTTTTTCTCCCCCAAAGAATGGTGAGGGAAACTTGAGATCAATGAAAAGCCAAAGATGCTTGTCTCCACAATAGGGTTCCCGTTTTGAGCTTAAGATTTGAATAGTACTGTCACCTGTATTATTTCTTAAACTTGATTGTCGGCATAAAGTTTTAAACAAATCATGATGAATTCAAAGACTTTGTAACAGTTTTTTCCCCATATAACAGTTTAAAGAAGGGTTTATTGCTTAAACAAGAACAGACTATGTAGTATACAATCAACAGTGCAATATGACCTGAATCTTACTTTTCTATAATTTCTTTTCTTAAACACGCAATAATTCGTCACACAAGGAAGAATCTTTTCCAAGAGGATCTCTTCAAAGAAATATGGGTCCAAGAATTTGGAAGGGAGTGAAGAATATGATGCTCCAAGGGAGTGGAAATCAGAGTCAGCTTCTACTAAGGTTTGAAGGTCAATAATCCTAGTGAAGTAGGTCATGTTTGGCCGTACGACAATAGAACATTTTGGTTTTTATAGTTTTAAAAGGATTAACCAGTGAAGTAGGCAATCTGATACTGTGGAATTCCAAACTCAGTGCTACATGACTCACACAATTTTGAACAGATTGCCTTTCAGTTCAATTAATAAAGGGCAGAAACTAGTTTGAAAAACTTGCAAAAAAAAAAAGGAAGGGGGGCCTCAAAGATGAATAATAATTCATTTTCCATTGATGAATCTAAAAGTACATTTTATGGTCATTGAGTTTATGAGCCTTGTTTGCATCAACATTCAGAATGTTCTTTCCAAAAGACAAGTCTCTAAGATTTCCTAAATCTTGATTAAGGATGATTTTCTTGTTGCTGCTTTATTACATTCTCTGCATTATCTTGGAATTCCTGCACTCTAATCTTATCTCAGGGGAACCATTTCAATCTTATGCTGCATATACATGTCTCTAGATAAGCTCTAACATAAAGCAGGACAAGTGGTTGAGGGGATGGTTAGGACTGTGTTACAGAATCTAAAATACAAGGAAAATCTCTGTTTGGGAATTGGAATCTGCCCTCTTAAGTTTCACTTTCCAGGGTTCGAAATTCCAACAAAAACAAAATCCAATTCCCCACCCCCCACATGATTCCATCTAATTTGGACTGAAGTTGCTGATAACATATTTCACACGGCAATCGAAAAGCGGAACAGAACTATACTAGTAGAGGACCAAAAGAAGACGAATTCATGGTTTTTCAAGCCGTGGAAATGGAAGATTTATGAAAATTTCATCCATGATGATACTGCTGGACTGGTTGAGTTTGGAAAACCAGATTTTGAGTTCCATAATATGATTCATGAGCAGCACCTCTGTTCAGACTCTGCCCCTGCATTTTTAGTCCATAAGAATGAACACCGTATCGAGGGGAAACCATCAAATTTCCTTGTGTCGAATCAAAAGTCATTGTCCCTCCATTCCCAGGTTGGTTCCATTGGAAATGTGTCCGGGATACGGTTGCTCCGGCTGTGGATTGAGGAAGCTCCGGTGAAGGTGTCTTGTTGTCCGGTGAAGGAGTTGTTCTTGTGTCGTTGAGATTGACGGTAGTTATGTCATGAATACTGGCTCTTCTCTTGTCCTTCCCGCAGGAGAGCTGCCGGATGAAGTACTTCTGAGCATGACTAGCCACCTGAGTCGGCGTTCTGGTAACCACAAAGTTTCGGGAAATATTTCTCCAATCCCCTTTGCCATACTTTTTGAGCCCCATCAGAAACAATCTACAGAAAAATTACAAAACAAAATCAAGAAAAGTTTTAAACAATCATATTTCTCAAATCTAAAATGATAAATTCAAGCACAAGAATTCTATATCTTTACCTCAAAAAGGTCCAGGAAGATTCTAAGCATGAGAAGGAGAAGACTTACTTGTGTTCCTCCTCTGTCCATGGAACCCCTTTCTTCCTTTCATGCTCCAGGGGCCTACCTGATGAAGATCTCTTTCCGGCGAAGCCATAGGACTGTTTGAACCCATCATAGCCATGGCAGTTCACCCAGTCCAATGTGAACGATGAAGTAGTGTAACCAGGCATTGGAAACAACCCTGCTTCTATTCTGCTAACATCCGCTTCCAATTCCCTGTACTGCTTCTGCACATCTGCTGCCGTCTTCCCTGGAATCATTGCCGCCACTTTCTGCCACCGATCGGGAGTTTCCTTATCGTAAACTGCCAAAGCATTCTCGAACACCTTGTTCTCCTCCGGTGTCCAATCCGTGCTTTTGCTCTCTTCTATAAGCCAATTCGCTCTCGAAACATATGATGATGGTGATAGAATTTCCATTTCCCACTTCATCGCATCAAACTGCGATTCGAACAGATTCACAACTCAATAATTTCCTCAAAATATGAAACTGCAGAAAAAACAGGGCAAGGAAGGAAGAACACCCTGAGAGGAAATGCAGAGACGTAGAGATTTCAAAATGCAAATATCAGTATTAAATCAAGTAGCATTTGGAAGGAATCAGAATAGCTTTTTGTGTATAGACAAACCCTGAGGAATCTAGAAAAGCCTCTCCCTTTGAACAAAAAAACAATAATAACAGTGAAAGAAAAAAACAATAGCGACCCTAAGTTAGAATCCAACTGAGATCTGAAGCCAGTAATTTTTTTCCCAGGAAACAAACAGAAAACTGGTGAAAATCCCAAATACCCAAAAATGATTCTCAAAGAAATACTATATTTAAATCTTCTGCCTGAGAACTAACTAAGCCTAAGCTTCAATTCCTCCATACATACCCAATTAGGAAAGTACAAGAAACACACAGTCTGAGCATTAAACTGAGGAGGCAACCCAGAAAGGCTGAAAATTTAACAATCCAATTGGGAAAAACTGTAAACTGAAAAGGAAAGCAGGAAACAAGAGCTGGGGAAAGATCTCTTCTTTCTTCCTTTTCCTTGAGGGCTGAGCAACAAAGACAAAAGGAGAAAGGAAAAGGTATATGACTCTAAGATGGAGTAGAATAGGAAGAAAAGCAAAAAACAAGGAGAAAGCCAATTAGCAAGCTTCAAGGAATGAATCTAAATTTCTGCCAAAAACCTTTGTTGTGGGGAAAGAAAGGAACCTGGAAAGAGAAACAGGAGAAGAAGGCTGTAAGCTTTTGATTGGAGGGTTTGGAAGTTTTATGGATACTGCAACTTATGAAAAGGTTCCACATTTTAGTGTAATATATAACACTTAAATTTTTGTTATCTGATTTTTCAACATTATAAAAATTAGCCAATGTGTTGTTTTTGTTTTGGAACACCATGCATAAAAGTTTTATATTTTGCTAATAAAGCCCTGGATTTCAAAGTTTTTTAAAAAACAAACCTCTAGTTGGGTTGTGACTTGTGAGTCAGTCAAAGTTCTCATGCTTTTGAAATTTCATACTCAAGTTAGATTATGTGTATATTGAAATTAATTTTATGTTAAATTTTCATAATTTAGAACATTTTTTTTAATGCTACTTAGTTTATTAATATATATATATGGTGTGATATTAAAAGAATAAGAATAAAAATTTGTTGTTTTATAATATAGATTGTATCAAATTATAAAATAAAAATTATAAAATAAAATAAAATAAAAACTCCTAATATTAAGAAACCCACAATCCAAAGAGTATAACACTTTTTCTAAAGAATAATTGTATATCTATTCAAACAAGTCTCCTTAATTAAAAAAAATATATGTATATCATATTACACAAAAGTATTGTACTTAAAAGTTAAAACACTACACATATAGCATTTGTATTTTGAGTGTATTTCAATCTTGGTTTTCATTCAAAAAAATTTATAGTTTTAACTTAAAAAATAACACTCTCTAATGAATATTTTTAAAAGTTAACCATTTGATTTAATATTCAATTAATATAGATAATGTATATTAACTTTCAAGTTAATCCATCATGTATAATCATTCAATCAAAAATTTTATATTTTTTAATATATATATTTAACAATAATAAATTTTTTATAATTAATAAACTCATTATAGATATTCACTAAATTTAAAAAATTTCATAAATGATCTATGTGATTAAAAAATTCAATCTAATAATTAATTTTTAAAAATATTTATAAAAAGTAATATTTTTGAAGTTAAAACTCTAATTTTTATTTTAAAATTAGAATTAATACACAATATTCTATCGTATATTAGTTAATTAAAATTTTTTTTATTGGTAAATATTAATTGGTTGAAATGTAAAGTATATTTAATGAAATACAAATTATAAAACAATTTCACAAATAGCAAGCCCCACATAGCTAAGTGGTGGCCACGCTACCATTGGGCAATAGGTGGACTGCACTTCCTTCAACTGTTCGATCCTTCGTAAACAACACTAATCATAATCATTTTTTACTGTAAAAAAAAAAAAAAACCAATTTCACAAATAAAATCTATTTTTATGTTATCTTTTTAATTGTGAAAATTACAGGGTTTGGCAGCACATGAGGAATCATGGAAGCTCACCTGT